TTTCAATTTAAAAACAGCGATCGAATTTTTGTGCTGTCCCACGAGACGCCTTCCGCATCGAACCCACATTTTTTTTTTTGAATTTATAGCCTGGTTCCTGATACCTGATTATAACAACAATTCGCTCGTCCTCGGAGATAAAATACGGCCGGATGGAAAATTTGTGAGGTCAAACTTTGGATTTTGCGTCCTGGAAATTATTTTTCAAAGTTGGGGTTTGTTTAGATTTTGTTTTTCGGTTTTATTAAAAAAGTAAACTGTCAATTTTACAAAAACTGACATCAACTGGGCAGGCATTGAGCGTCATCGTTTGGAAATTTATTTTAGATTGAAATTTTGACGCGGAATTGGAGTTGGAATTGGAGTTAATACTTTATAAAGTAATGTTAGGTACATAATTAATTAAACATGGAAAAACACGGTGAAGTTTCATGTTTTTACGTTATTTCTAAACATTTAGCAATGACGATCGAATTTAAAAAAATACGGTGAGGTTAAATGATATCGTCACTTAATTATGTACCATGTACCATAGTTACTAAATTGTAATTTTGATACTAATTCGCTACTACAAGTGAGCCTTAAGAATATTATAATACTTTATTTTGACGCTGAATTCGAAGAAATTGCAGATATATGTTTTCGATATTTCAAAAGATGATTGAACAGTACAGAGCAAAGTGTGCAGAAAATAGAAATCGAGATTTTGAGAGAACGCAGTATCCGATTTGAATGATCTAAAAAATATTCAATTCGTATTGATGGGGAGAAGTGGTGATTAGTTTTTGGCAAAGGCTCCTGATTCGCCGCATCTTATTTTAAAGGCGCTTGAAAATCGAAATCTGATTTATAAAAGTAAAACGTAATTTTTTTTTGTATAAATGTTGCTTTATTTATTTTAGTCATTTAATTGTTTTACTTAAAATTTACTTTTAAGTAACTTTACTTGATATTTTAAAGTAAACTCTGCACATCTTTTATATAATTATTCCATGTTTCATTCCGTATATTATATGGAAATATTTATATTACTTAATTTTGATAAATGTTAATTTTATTAATTGTATTATTTAATTAATTAATGATAATTCAATTTTCTTTTTAGGAAAGTTATGATGAATTTGCCTTATTTTTCCACGATACCTATGGTGGCGATTTTATAGCTGTTTTATGGAAACCACAAGCTTTTGAGAAAAAAGAGTTTAAGGTAAGTTTGATTATAATTAGAAAAATTAATACATAAATATTGAAAAATTATTTATTATTTGAACTACGCTTATATTCTACAATATTTATATTGTGTAATTGCGATTTACAAAATCTCATCTCAAAAGTGTACCAATAAGGTATAACAATATTAATATCATCTTGAAATTTTGGAATACATTTTTTTCCAAAACTACTTGTCACTTCGATTGTCTTTTGGCAAAAACAGTCTTTCAGCCATTCAATAGAAAAACATTCATCAAACATTAGTTTATTAACGTCTTGTAATTGTCTTTGCCCAAACTCGAAAATGACATTTTTGCACATCTTTACGTTTCGAAGATTTGAACATTTTGGCATACCTTAGAAAGAATGGATCTGTGTATGTGTGTGTGTATGTATGTATGGATACGGATCAATCGAATTGAATAATTCAAAAACATTCGATTCCTACTGATGGGGAGACGTGCTGATTAGTTTTTGGCGAGGTCGTGGTCCAGTCATTTCGGAGATGCGGAGCGAAATGTGTAAAAATGATAGTTTTTGAGAGAGAAAAAACTATAAAAAAAAAACATTTTGCTTGTGAAGATGTGATTGTTTTTGGGAAAAAAAACATGCTTTTTATTTCAAATTACTTTCTGCGTACACCCTGATGTCAAGATGTAGTGATGTCCATTTTTGCTTGAACATTTAGATTAAAAAAGTGTGTAATGGTGAAAATGCTCTCCAACAATGGTGCGCTAAAAAATTGAATGGACTGGGAAAAGTATATAAAAATTTGTGTGGGAAAAATTATTATGATAAAATTTCAATCGTATAATAGTTTAGATGGATAAATGCTCTCCTCTAGCCAGACCAATTTAAAATTTGTGCTGGTTCTTTTCAGGTATCCCATCTTAATGGCAGAAAAGTCGTAACAGTTGACGGGAAACCGATGCTAGTGTCTAATCTAGGCGCAATTATCGAAGATTTCTACATATTGGCCAAGGATTAGTGAAGAGTATCGAGAACCTAACAAATAAAGATGCTGAATAAATAGTTGTATTAGAGATTATATTATTTTTTATTAAATTCAGCAACCAGATGACATTTTGTTAATTGTTGAATCGAGAGTAGAGACGATCATCTATACTGATAGATTTAACCCTCTAACCCGAGTTTTTGATAGAGCCAGTAAAAAAAGTCAGAACAATTTTTTCTAGACTAATTTGACCATAACAAACACTTCTGCATCATTAGATTTTCATTTTGACTTGCCGTTTAGCTACCAGGTATAAAAAGGTGAAGATTACTTCAAAGTAATCTTGACGGGTTCAGTGAAAAATTTGATACAGGTAGATATTTTTATTCTGTATGGTATTTATTGAAAAAAGTGATAAAAGAACAATGGAATGTAGTAGAAATTAATTATTTTTGTTTTGATATTCTACGAAACAATTTTTGCCCTTAATGCAACATAAAGCTATATTACATTTGGAGCAAATGCACATAGTTAGCGCTTTTGTTTTGTTTTGGGCAAAGAGTTTGCACGTAACACGTTTTTCTGTCCATTGTGGCCAATGATCCATACAGTCAAAACGAGTGTCGTCCACTGGATGCAACGCACGTCTTCCAACAGGAAAAGAACCTAGAATCACCTCTGGAGTTGATGGCCGCTTGAAGCGAGTCTGGATGATGGACGACCAGCTTGGCGCTTGAAGTTGTAGTTCACAAGGCCAGCAGCAATATTTTTACGAAATTGTGGCAATGTCAACAATTTTTCGCTGGGGTCATTCTCATCAGGCAAATCGTGAACTTTCTCTCGGTGTATTCGGCGATAGAGTATGTATGCGTTGGTGGCAGCCATGTCAATAAAATGGTACAACAAACGAGTTGCTGCATCACGAGTTTTTGCGCGAATATGATAGCGGCCCATCAAGCCATCCATCAAGTCCACGCCGCCCATATGTTTGTTATATTCGCTCCTCAGAATATCCTCTTGGTTTATCTTTGATGGCTGTTTCCAAACTCAGCTTACAACCAGGCACTCTGTTCACTCATATTGTACCAAGACTGAAAATTCCACGAGCGCGCAAATACACCAACAAAGGCAAACTTGTATGAAAGTTGTCGAAGTATACAATGTGATTTGCCATATCCGGGATGGTTTGAGACAATCGCATGACAACATTCGCCGAAGCACCAAGATTTGGATGGCCATCTACGAGTTTGTTGTCTCCAGCGCCATTGTAAACTTCGAACCGATAAGCAAATCCAGATGAGTCACATAGAACGAATAATTTCATGCCCCATTTGTGTGGCTTATTGGGCATATACTGCCGCAAATGGTGCACCATCTTATTGCATTAAAAAAATCGACCCCAACACGTTTTTCATGTAACAAAAGAGATAAAAAAGAAAAGGTGCAATAAACGGTAAAAACGCGTTGGGAAAAAAAAACACTGAATCCGGCAAGAATACTTTGAAGTAACCTCTGTTTTTCCCTTCAAAATACCGAAAAAAAATTTTTTCACAATAAAATATATAATAATTGAAAGGGGGATTACTTACCAACAAAATAAAAAAATTCCGATGTCGAAATAATGATTGGTTCAAGAAATATTTGGCACAAAAAACACAATTTTTTTTTTCACTAAATTTGATGCTTCCTTCTCGAAAGCTCGCACTATTATGACTATAGAAGCCAAACTATACTTCAAATGATGTTGGTGTCTGAAGAAGAAATGTCAAATAAAGTACGAGGGACAAGTTCATGCTTATTCGCATGTGATTATGTTTCACACGGTTATAAATTAAAGCAAAACATGAAGATTACTTCAAAGTAATCTTCCGGGTTAGAGGGTTAAGTGAATACTTTTGTATAAAAATTGTTTAATATGAAAGATATATTTTAAAAACTATGATTTACTCTGTTCGATATAATTTTGCAGATTATTTTATGTTCTTAACTGTATATCCTTACTTTACGTAGGGTAAGTTATAGTTATAATCGCAAAAAAAACGAATATGATAATTTTTGCATATCTTTACGTTTCAAGACCTAATGAGCATTTTGGCATACCTTGGAAAAAATGTATGTATGTATTATGTGCGTGCATGGGATGTATGTAGTATGTATGTATGTTCGGATACACATTTTCGTCCACCATTTCGAGAGCACATATCAACCCATTTTGATGATACAAAATGCATTAGATTCCTATTGATTTGTAGATGTGCTGATTAGTTTTGGCAAAGATAGGATCGTTTTGAAGATGCAAGGCAAAAAGTGAGAAAACAAAATGGAAATTTAGATTTTGAAAGAACTGAGCGTCCGATTTGCTGATTCAAAAAACATTTCACTTTAGTGAAAAATTGATTAAAATTCTGGGAAGCGGCTATGGAGATAAAAAAAAATAAAATGAAGATGAAGAAATGCCATTTGGTGGTCAAAAATTTTCATTACATATTTTATAGCGATTTTAATATGTAACAATTTTGTTTAAAGATTTAATGTTTACCTGTCAGAGACTGCGACGCGGCACATACGCGCTTCGATAAATTGTCTCTAAAACAGCTACGCAGAGCTGTTTGAAATCGCTTTGAAAATATTCAAAATTTTCGAAAAATGTTAAAAAAATATACGGTGCGGGAAGTTGCAAAAGCACAATACCATTTATTACTAGTATCAAATATTAAAGGTTGTTGGCCCATTTCAAAATTGGAATTTAATTTTGCTAAAAATGAAAACAGCTCAATATTTTTCAATGGTTAAACATTTATTTAATAGGTTGATTCATGACATTTATTTACACATTTTTACATTACTTTTTCGATTGTTGGCATAACATTTATCTTTTACGGCTCCCCAAAGATAATAATCCAATGGCGTCAAATCGCAGCTTCTTGGTGGCCAATTCACATCAGCATTTTTGCTAATTATTCAATTTTCGAAAATGCGGCGCAAAACATCGATTGTGGCGTTGCACCGTCCTGTCTGTAAAATATTTACAATGAGTATGTTAAAATGAGGTAAAATGGAGGTAAATATTGTGTAAAGGTTGCTAGAATATAAATTTAAGTATCAAACCAATGAGTTGTGGTAGATAGCCTATGATTTAAGATAGCCGTTAAATTGAAGTAGTTATTAGCAAACGTGAATTGATGTAGTTAACAGTGGATGTTACCAGCCAAAGTTTATTTTAAGTTTCCGCCGTATATTAGTGGTTAGAGATATGAGATTTATATCAGATTTTTAGGTTCGATACTCGTCTCCGACAGCCTGATATTAAGCAGCAGTATATATGCCTTTGCCAGGCGTTATTGCATCAATAATAAATTCATATATATTATAGAAATTTCATTAATCAAAATTTATCACATGGAGAGAGGAGCAAAAGTTTGGGTTGCTACCCATAAAGGAGCACGTCGTTTAAGAATCCAACATGAACACATAAAGCTCATAGGCCAGGTTAAGTGCTGATTGCTGTTAAATATATGTGTAATAAAAAAGACTATTAAAACTATTTCCTTTCTCCTTAATCGCCTGTTGCAACCGTGAGTAATGTCCGTTTACACGATTATTTCATACTATTATCGCCTAACAATTTTGTAAATAAAACAACACTTATCGATCAATCTTAAAATAAAATCTAAACAATTAAACTCAATTATGTTTATTTTATCAAATATTAACTATCAGAACAATGCAATCTTGAAGCAGAAGGTAATATTTTTCCGCTCTTTCTATCCTGGATTTCACGAAGTGTGAGAGCGGGTTTAAGCACTTGCTATGCATAGAAGTTCATTGATTCTTAAACTTTTTTCCAACAAGAAATAAACCTTTTCTTTAAAAAATATCAATTACTATGTGTTTATAATTGTTTTAAATTCAATGTATATAATTTGATTATTAAACTATGCAGTATTTACAGTTTAATCTTAAATTGGCAACTCAATTGTTTGTACAATATAGTTGGCCAACTATAGATGTTCAACATTAAAGCTCTTCACGGAAAATTATTTCTTTTTAAAATAATTCCTAACTATTTTAAAAAATTATTTGATATGTATACGCATTGTATACGTTTCGGATAACATCGTAGCTTTCACTCAGTGAAAAATAAACTTTAATATCCTTATATTACAAATAAAATGGCCTGACACTTCTTGAAAAAACAATTATTATTGCGCAGCTATAACTTTATATATATGGAATTAAACAATTTATATTAAGAATAATGAGATTATACCTGATTTTATTTTTTACTGAATGGGTGCTAAGACGTAAGCCGAAAAGTATCCATATCAAATAATTTTGTGTTATCGCAGTACACTATTATAAAATTTTTGTGATTTTAATAGCTATATTAATTTTTAAGGTCTACATAAAAAAATCTCGATCTAATAAACTTACCAAGCAAGATGAAAATTTACCTAATATATTACTACACTTCTCCAAATGAAGCAGTATTACAATTAGGTCATAGTGGAAAATGGCCAGAAAATTTAGAAGCACTCCGAAGATTGAAAGCTTGTTTATTAATTCAAATCGTCAATGGACTAACCAAAACTTGCCAGATATCAGCAAGTGCTGATCCATTATATTTAAATATATTTAAAGATGGTTTCGTATTTAGATTGGGAGTCGTTCATCAGAAATAAATTGGTACAACAAATTGGAATGGATGTATAGAGATACAGAAGAGGGTTTATGGATGAAAAGGGAATTAGTGATGATGCCAAAGTTGACTAGTGCTCTGCTAGGGTAAGTTTATTTTAATTCATTTTAATAATTATTAATTTTCTGAGCGCCAGAATGTTATTTGTTTTTGTCAAAAATATGACTTACTAATTATATGTTTTATAAGTTGTACTGATTCTTGTGACGCTATATTTGAAAATGTTATCTATGTATGTAAGACAACAAAATGATTTTTCCTTTCTAATTTAATATGTCTATTGGTGATATTATATTTTTAATTTGTTAAACAAAGCCTCGAAAGGCTAATTTAA